GTGTATAGTGTTTGTTCCAGTAGTCCTTCGTTGGTTATTCGCGATACTCTTCTAGTTCCCCCTCCCCAGATGACCGGTTGCACAGGAGTGTCGGGGCTGTCCCGGGTCAATGCCACCCACTGCTTTTGTTGGGGTTCTGCGTGAAGCTCCATTATGCGCTGCAGGACCGTGGCTTGATGATATTTCCTGAAGTCGGGCAAAGCTAGCCCACCACGATGCCTGGGGAGGCAGAGTAAGTCAAACCGTAATCTCGCCCTCTTCCCTCGCCATACGTATCGTATGACCGCAGATTTCAGCGCGGAGAAGAAAGTGGTCGGTAGGGCCAGTGGGAGTGTTTGGAACGGATAAAGCAGGCGCGGTAGAATGTTCATTTTCAGAACAGCTACCCGTCCATGCCATGAGATGTGCGGGTGCGCCCATCTTTTCAAGTCCTCTGTTATTTTCTGCAGGAGAGGGGTGAAGTTGTGTCGGTACAGGTCATTAGGGTGTGGAGTTATCCAGATCCCCAGATATTTCAGTTTTTGGTAGCACCACCGGAACGGGAACAGTGGTTCCAGGGCCGCGTATTCGTCCTCAGGCATTGACACATTTAGCACTTCGCATTTAGATAAATTAAGCTTGAAGCCAGAGATCGAACCAAATGTCTCAAATTCCGACAGCAGGCAGGGTATCGCAATTCGAGGATTTGTTATGTAGAACAAGAGGTCGTCTGCATATGCTGCTACTTTATGCGTCGTGCCCAGCCATGAAAAGCCACAGATGTCGGGTTGCTGGCGTATCCTCTGGAGCAAGGGTTCTAATGAGATAGCAAAAAGTAGAGGGGATAAGGGGCATCCCTGCCTCGTACCATTGGATATCTCGAAATCTCCGGTGAGTGCGCCGTTGACTCGCACTGCCGCTCGTGGCTTATCATACAGGGCCCGAATCATCGTGAGGAATCTGTGTCCCAGTCCCATCTGGCCAAGGGTGGCGAACATATGTGACCACTTCACCCTATCAAACGCCTTCTCAGCGTCTGTGGAGATCAGGAGAAGGGGTTGTCGTGTCTTCCTCGCCTGGTGTTGTATCGCGAAGAGCCGAAGCGTGCTGTCTCTCGCCTCCCGGCCCGGAATAAATCCCGTTTGGTCTTTGTGTACGAGAGTGGGGAGGATGGTTTGGAGCCTGGTAGCCAGTACTTTCGTAAACAGTTTGGTGTCAACATTCAACAACGAGATCGGACGATAGCTACCGCAGAGTGACGGGTCCTTTCCGGGTTTAGGAAGAACCGTGATAGTGGCCTTTAAAGATTCGGCTCCGAAGCGACCCCCATCTGCAATCGCGTTGAGGGCCTTGGTAAGCCAGGGCAAGACTATAGATGAAAATGTTTTATAGTAGCCTGCGGAAAATCCGTCCGGGCCTGGTGCCTTCCCCTTCTTGGTTGCCTTCAGTGCTGCTGCCAGTTCATCCTCCGTGATTTGGGTCTCCAGGTCGATAGCTGTGTCAGGAGAGATGGTTGGTTCGACCGTGTCATGGAGGTAATCTCGCGTGCGTGTCATCATCATCGCCGAGTGCGCCTGTGTGTTCTCCGCGTCGAGGTTATACAAGGATTTATAGAACAGCTGGAATTCCCCTGCAATATCCGCCGGCATGCTTGAGACCACGCCTGATGTGAGGTGTAATTTACGGACCTGGGTGCGGGGTATTTGGCCCCTCAGCAGACGGGCAAGGTATCGCCCCCCCTTGTTAGCGTGGGTGTAAAAGAAAGCTTTAGAGCGTTGCAGAGAGCGGTGATGGCGTTTCATAAGGAGCTCCTTTAGTTGTCGTCTGGATTGCATCAGGTCCCGGTATGTCTCCATGAGGAGCGATCTTTTATGCTGGCTTTCCAGTTCTGTGATTCTTCTGTATAGGTTAGCCATCTCCTTCATCGCTGTTTTCTTCTTATGTGTAGCTATGCGTATAAGCGTGCCCCGTAGGACGCTCTTGTGTGCTTCCCAAATCGTTATTGGAGACATGTCCGGTGACGCGTTGTCTTGAAAATAGTGAGTCAGGGCTTGCGATACTTGTTCCCGCGTGCCGGGGTCTAGGAGTAGAGTCTCATTGAGTCTCCATGTCCACTTAGCAGGGCGAAAAAGTGGAGACTCGAGTTCCATAACCACGGGACCATGATCCGACCATGTAGCAGGCTCTATCTTGGCTGATACTATTCGCGATAACCCCGCTTGTCTGATAAAAAGGTAGTCGATGCGTGAGTACCTATCGTGAATTGCTGAGTAGTATGTAAAGTCTTTCGCGGAAGGGTTAAGCGTTCTCCAACAATCGGCGAGGTCCATATTGCCCAGAATTCTCCGGATTGCTCGTAAATGCAATTGTGAGATGCTGCTGTGCCCCGTGGAGGAGTCCAGAATGGGATCCAGTGGGACATTGAAGTCGCCTCCGAGGATTAGGATGCCCTCCGAGAAGTCGTTCAATTTCGCCAGTGTGCTCTTTAAAAACATTGCTTGTCGTTTATTGGGGACATAAATGTTGGCAAAGGTATATAGCTTACCCGCTATTACCCCTTTCAGAAAAAGGTATCTGCCGTGCGTGTCAGTAACGGTATCCAGCGTTTGGAACTCCAGGTCCGCGGATAGTAGGATGGCTACCCCTGCTTTTCTTGCCGTAGGGTGATTGCAGAAGTGGTTCGTCGGGTAGAGTTTATTGCGGAGAGTAGGTGCTGCGCCAAATCGAAAGTGTGTCTCCTGTAGCATCGCAACCGATGCGTGTCGTTTCCTAAGCTCACGTAGGAGGTGGGTTCTCCGTTCTGGGATGTTCAGTCCCCTGCAGTTGAGAGTGAGGACAGATAGGGGTGCCGGCTGGTATGCCATGGTTTTTAGCTTATGCGGGTTATATGTGGTGAGCGCTAAGTTCCCAAACCTCCTCCCTCCCTATGACGGCCCCCAACCACCCCGCGAGGGCGCAGGTCCCCGTGGCAGGCCAATAGATGCAGGCAGGGGAGGGAGTCTGCTGCGTAGAGGGCAGTTGAGGTGTAGAGCGGGTGGTGTGAGGGGAGGGGGGTGAAGATGACGAGTAGGGGAGAGTGAGTGGGAGAAGATGGAGGTGGACAAAAGTAGGAGTGGGTTAGACGGCAGAAGGAAAAGAGAAGAGAGAAGTAGAGTAGACTTCCCGTCCACTGGGTGTCTATGCTGGGGTAAGAGGTACCCCTCCGGTGCCACCCCTAGGATTGGGGTGACTCGTGCTGCGGCGGGTAGCACAAGGAACACGTCCTGGTAACCAGACCTCTAGACAGTGTCCCACTGTGGTCCGTCGCGAGTCTGTAGCACGAGTATGAGTGGGGCTACGTGGGTTAGTACCCAACCAAGTGGTATCAGGTGTGTGTGGTGAAGAGATATCCGTCCACATAACACCCCGTGTTCGCTGAACATACACATTCCATAAGGCGATTTAGTGCATAAATGAACAAATAAAACAAACAGAACAACAACATGGGTCGCAACAAAGCAACCTAATAACAATCACAGCATGTTAGGAATTGACCAGTGTATAGTCCCCTATCCGTCCCTCAAGTCCCCAGAGGTGCCCTCCCCAAGGTGTCCCGGTTCCCTACTCCCAGTGTAAGGTCACCAGCTGTATTGTTTGTCCTGCGTTGGAAGTCAGTGGCTGCCTTGCGTAAGCGGCGTTTGTCAGTCTCGTGTCCAACCCCATAACCTTGTGGTATGCGAGTATTGGGTCCGAATAAGGTCGTAAGTTTAATCCGCATTTAAGTGGCAGCTGTCCCCTTATTCCCCCCTACGTGTGATCCGTCCATCTCCAACGTATGGAGTGTGGGTGGAGCTAGTTTATATCGCAATGTGGGCTTGTACATCTCTCAGGTGTGGTTTCCCCGTACTCTGTGTGGTGTATCCCCCCACGTCAGGACCCGGGGTGACCCTGTGTCCGTGGCATGATATGTGTCCCTTGTACAGTCTGGTTTGACCTCTCGACCTCACGTCCCATTACCATATTCCCGCCCATTTAATCTAGAGGGGTGTCACAGCGATATGCGTGGGTGATGTGTGGACTAGGTGGAAAGCCTAACCAGGTGTATCGGGGTAACAACTTACATCTGCTTTCGACCTAGTCCTACCGACCAACATGTATTTCACAGGCAAAGCTTACCAATACCATAGATAACAGCACTGTAATTGATAGAACGTTCAAAGCAATATGGCACTTCTCGGCAGGGAAGTGTAGTTTCTTCCCGACTGTCCAGTAAAAATGCAGTAGGGCAGTAAAAGGCTATCAGAGCCGCCATTCGCCAGTTCAGCGTCTTCAAGAGAGCCACGTGTGACAAAAACAACCGCTTAGCGTCTCAAGTTGGGCAAAGGGAAGAGAAAAAAAAAAAAAAAAAAATTTCCCCTTCTTTTTCGTTATATACATGTCTTTCTCTTTGATTGTCCTTGCTGTCCTTTCTTCTCTTTACATGCAGTGTTGTCTAGTCGCTGAAATCCCTCTCTCATTGTCCTACCTTTTCGTCTTACAGTTCTAGTCGCTGTAATAGTCCTAAATATCCCTAATGTCACTCTATCTGTATTCACCCATCCGCATGGTGATGAAACGCAGAAGGCTTCTTATCGCCCACGTGACGGTTGAACATGAAAGGGAAGGCCAGCTGGAGCAAAAGGAGGCAGTGATTGAGTGAAATCGGCGTCTGGGTATGCCTATTCAGTACAGCTCCAAGGCTCCACCGTTCTTATATACAAAGGTGTTTTCCAAGTTCCCGTTTGGGTAGAGATCCGATTTCAAATTGGTGACATCTCTGTTTTGTCAAGCTCCTGACTGCTACATGCTCTCATCCGATGCGTCATCACTTCTCTAGATCACCAACTATGTTAGCAGCAAAGTAGTCACCACTGTCCATATAACACTGTTATTATAGCGCAAGACAAAATCCCTGTTCTCCCTTTTTTTTCTCCCTTTTTTCCTCTTTTTCCCCCCCCTTCCTTTCCGATCTTTTTCTCTCTCACTTTTTTTCTTTTTACTGTGTTTGTTGATAAACGGGTATAACGTGGTCCTTGGGTATGAGTCTTAAACACTGATGACTTATGTTCGTCTGTAAGAAGCAAGGGGAGCTGACTTTGAGAGGATTACATGTTAATTCACCTGTTTGACCAGAAGACTTTAATCCCCTCCTTTGTTGCATCTGTGGGGACAGAGCATTGATCATCACGTTCCCATTTTCGGTATATCTTCATCCCATGGGCATAGCTGACGGCGTAGAGAGAGGGGGCCTCTCTATGTGAAGGCATGCAGACTATGGTATCTCGTACGGTGGGGGAGGGGGGAGGGGAGAGGGATGTCAGGCTAGGTGAGCAGACTTAGGTGCCATGTCAGATTTATGGGCGTTCATAACCGGGTCAGCTGGGGCCAGGGACACGGGCACTTATACCCATACGGGTACTCACTCATCCTGGCCTCCTTGTTCCATGCGCCGCCTGGGGGGCCGCCTCTGAGGGGATCCATCCCTGCGCCGCCGTGGAGCTCTCTGAGGCCGTGGGCCCTGTCCAGCAGGGCCAAGGACCCAATTCGTAATCTGGATAGGCGGTAGGTCCAGGGTCTCTAAAAAGCGAGGTATCTCCGCCGGCCATCTCGCTGAGATCCATGAGTCCTGGTGGCGGGCCAGCAACGCAAAAGGGAAGCCCCATTTGTAATCGATGTGACGGTCACGTAATGCTGTTGTAACCGGTTTTAAAGCTCTTCGGGCCTCAAGCGTGAGGGGAGATAGGTCATTGTAAAGAGAGACCTGAGAGTTACGATAGGTCCATTCTGGGCGTTCGCGGGCCTTCCTCATAATTAATTCCTTGACAGGGAAGGAGTGGAGACAACAGATGAGATCCCTTGGCCCATCTTCAATAGATCTCGGGCGCGCAGCCCTGTGTGCCCTTTCAAATTCAAAGCATTCAGGGGCTTCCTCCTGTAGCAGCATCTTAAAGAGGCCTGACAGGACCTCTGTCGCATTCTCCCCTCCCGCTGTCTCTGGAACCCCCCTTACCCTGATGTTGCACCTGCGGCCTCTATTATCGAGGTCCTCTAGGTGTCTCCTCATATCAAGGAGCATGTCTCCTTGCCGCGTAATTGCCAGGTCAGTCGATGAAATCCTGGAGGATTGCGTCTCCATTGCTGTTTCCAGGGCCTCAATGCGTGTTCCATGGGCGGTCACTTCCGTCCTGATGCCCGCCATCTCCGCGCGCAGGGCATCTTGTATCGTGGTGGTAAGTGTCAGCAGGTCAGTTTTAGTGGCCATAGAGGCCGCGATGGATCGGATTTCCTCCCCTATCCGATCTAGAGAGGAGTGTTCTGCGCCCGAGGAGGAGGCAGGAGACGGTGGTGTTGAGGCCGGGCCCGCCGTCTCTCCTCCGGCACCTGAGGTCGGCTGCAAAAAGGGGTCCATGAGGCCCTGAGAGGGGTGTTGTTGGGAGCCCCTTGGTGTCTGAGAGGGCTCCGTGCGCCTGCTGCGACCCATCCGTCGCCTGTAGCTGTGTAAAATCGCTGTTTAGGGGGTTATGTTGGAGCGGAGCACACGGTCTAAGCAGCCATCTTGGTCAAGGTCGTGGCCACGCCATGGGCAAACCTTTTTGCCTCAGTAGTAGGGCATTACAGAAATGCCAATATGGAGGTCCCCCAAGCAAACTAATTTAAGGACAGCCATCCCTGGCTTGTCGCTGTTGCTGGTATGGACTGTTTTATCATGTTGTTCAGTACATTTTTTATACTAAAGATTTAAAAACTTTATAGAAAGACCTTAATTAAACCTTCACTAAAGAAAAAAGATGTATTTCTGCTGAACCCACACGCGTAGTTTACTTGCTTCATGCTTAATCATTTCACTTATCAAAGCAAAAGAAAAAAACAAATCACATTAAAAAAACAACTGTTACATAATAATTTAATCACTGATGGCTCATCTTTGTCACATCACCCTTTACCAGTGTGAAGCAGAGCTTACATCATGCCATAGTGGGGGGTGATGTTGGGGGCCGATAGGAGACATGTTCTAACTGCAGCTTGAGGGCTAGATACTGATCATCCTTGCTATAGTTGAAGGATTCATTACAATCAGTTCACATCACTGTCAATTTTTATTCCATGCTTCATTTTCCAATGTGGTTAATCAGACTAATGAGGTTGTTAACAATCCCCTTTTTGTGTTATAGCAAGGCTGTTTGGCAGCCATCTTAATCTAGTCATGGCAGGCATTCCAACTTCCTCTCCATTTTGTGGAATTATGTCATACAATCACAAACTGCGGCATGTCGAATGTCATGTCAGAGTTGGGTACAGGCTTGAAATATTTCCGATAAAGCAAAACATTATGATCTCAGTGCTGTTCACTTCTGATTTCATTAAGTTATAACTCTCAGCAGGCTTAACCGGCTACTCCTCAAGGAAATCTATCGCATTCAATATGGTGATGTGGAGCTTACTATTGTCGTGTTTCTCAGGACCATAGGCTAGTGATTATTATTGCAGGGGATAGCAATTCCCATGATGCTCAGACAGCCTAATGGTGGTGAGCAACGTTGCCCCAGTATTGCTAAATAATTGTTTTACGTAGCCTTATCTTTTACTTTTTGGTAATTATAATGATTATATTAATAACAAAACATTTTTAAAAAATGTAATAAAAGATTAGGTAGCGCTTAGCAGTCTTGTGAAGGAACAGCAAACAAACATTACTGTGAGTTTCATTGCTGTGAAGAGGCACTGTACTTGCTGTAATGGCTCATAGACCCTAAAGATTCTAAACTTCAGGAATAGTGCAATACCAGTTTAGGAAGATTGTTTCGGATTAGACCATGAGGAGTCAGGCAAGGCCTAGGCAGTACAGGGACATGTAAGTGTGAGGGTAGAGTATACAGAGGAATGTGGTAAAGTGGTCCTGGGACAGTGGGTGGAGTAGTAAAGGGGTAGATGGGTGGGACAGTATAAATAGGTTTCCATCTTACAGAATAGCAGCCTTCTTAATTATCAGTTGGTAACAGCTTCCCGCCCTACCTCCCCTTATTTGTTTCATGTTTGTCTGTGTGTTTTGTCTGTCACAGCTTGGTTGTCCAGCGGGCATGTGTACACCCATTGGACATGGTGGGTGCCCAGAGGGCATTGTGGACGCCCAGCAGGCATGTGGCGGTATATGGCCCTTGTCAACCAGGGGTTTGATCAGCAGTCCATGGAAAGTAGATGGGTAGGGCTGTCCCTCCCCAAACCTCAGGTACAGTTATGGATAACGGACGTGCCCACTGAGCCAATAAGCGGCTAGCGGTTAGCATTACAAAATGGAAGGCCCAAGAAAAGGCCTTGTACTGGTTGGAACGAGGGGGGGAAGGCCAGCTGCCCTAAGTTATGTTTGGTTGGCAAGGTGGTACTTAGTGACGTATGTATTTACTGAGTAATTTTGCCTCTTTATAAATCGCTGGTAAGACCACACCTTGAATATTGTTCAATATGTGCAATTTTGCCCACCTGTTCTAAAGAAGGATATCATGGCACTAGAAAAAGTGCAGAGACAAGCTCCAAATTGATAAAAGGAATGGAGCATTTTAGTTATGAAGAAAGGTAAAAAAAAATGCAATCTCTTTAGTTTAGTAACTTGAGGCCCCGTCAGAGTCCTGACCTCAACCCGATTGAGATGCTGTGGCATGACCTCAAGAAAGCGATTCACACCAGACATCCCAAGAATATTGCTGAACTAAAACAGTTCTGTAAAGAGAAATGGTCAAGAATTACTCCTGACCGTTGTGCACATCTGATCTGCAACTACAGGAAACGTTTGGTTGAAGTTATTGCTGCCAAAGGAGGTTCAACCAGTTATTAAATCCAAGGGTTCACATACTTTTTCCACCTGCACTGTGAATGTTTACATGGTGTGTTCAATAAAAACATGGCAACATTTTATTATTTGTGTGTTATTAGTTTAAGCAGACTGTGATTGTCTATTGTTGTGACTTAGATGATGATCAGATCACATTTTATGACCAATTTGTGCCGAAATCCATATCATTCCAAAGGGTTCACATACTTTTTCTTGCAACTGTATAAATATACACATATATATTTAGCTATTTAGCTTGTTTATATTAAAGTATACTTTTTAAAGTTACTTTTATATTCACTCCAATCTTTTATTTTACTTCCTGGATCCTGTATATCCTTGGTGGGGATTATACCACCCATGCTGTTTATACTAGAGCAGGATATATGCTCTAGAAATTGTAAGTACAATACTATTTAATATTGGTCATACCACTAGTACTTACTTCACCATATTGCTGCTATTTTTTCCTTTCATATTTACTACGCTCACTGCATTGTGGAAATATTCGTGGAAACTTCTACAAATCCAAAGACGGGGATTGTACCGTCCAGGCGTTCTTACAGCAGAGCTCTGTTATAGCTCATCCATATGTGAGTGGATTGAACTTAGCCTTATACTATCTGCTCTAAAGAATATATTTACTGTATTGCACTATCATTTGTTTCTTAATCTGTTTCCTTTGAGGTTACGATCCGTTTGGAATATTCAAGATATATGTATGTATATTTCACATATATAAATTAGGCGCGGTATACGTTTTTCTTTTTTTACACATATATATACACACACACACACATACTGCTGTGTGTGTGCGTGAGGGTGCTGTGTGTAGGTGTTGTGTGTATGTGTAGGTGCTGTGTGTGAGGGCACTGTGTGTATAAGGGTGCTGTTAGTGTGTGTGTGAGGGTGCTGTGTGTGTAAGGGTGCTGTTAGTGTGTATGTGAGGGTGCTGTGTGTGTAAGGGTGCTGTTAGTGTGTGTATGTGTAAGGGTGCTGTGTGTGCAAGGGTGCTGTTAGTGTGTGCTGTGTGTGTAAGGGTGTTGTTAGTATGAGGGTGCTGTTAGTGTGTGTGTGTGGGTGCTGTGTGTGTGGGTGCTGTGTGTGTGAGGGTGATGTATGTGTGTGTGCGCTGTTTGTGTGTAATGTGTGGGGTGTGGGGACCGTTTAGTTAATATCCCACCCTCCCTTCTTACCTAGGGAGGGGGGACCGTGCTGCTGCCATCCCTGGTGGTCCAGTGGAGAGTGAACTCTAGCCCCACAGGGAGCTAGAGTTCACTCTCGCAAGATCTGAGCGTTGCTGCGGTAACCACGACAACACTCCGACCTCGCGAGAGGAACCCGGTGGAGCTGCTAGCAAGAGCTCCCCGGGTCCTCTACTGCCTCCCTCCATGCCTGTGGTTAGGTGACTCCCTCACCTGCCCACGGAGGGAGGCACATAGCGCGTGCCGTGGGGATTAGGGTGTGCCCAGGCACACCCGGCACACCCCGTGTGCAAGCCTATGGGATATGATAACATAACATAACAATATATTCAGGGCCAATACAAACCTTTATCTGGAAATCTATTCATAAACAGGGCTATACATAGGACACACATTTAGGCTGAAAGAAAGGAGATTTCATCTAAAGCAAAGAAAAGGTTTTTTTACAGTAAGAGCAATAAGGATATTGAATTCTCTGCCTTAAGAGGTGGTTTTATCAGAGTCCATACAGATGTTTAAACTGCAATTGGATAAATACTTGCAAAAACATTACAGGGATATAATTTCTAATTAGTGGGGTAATATCTGCTTAATCTAAGGAGATATCTGACTACTATTTTGGGGTCAAGAAGGAATTTTTTACTAGTTTGTTGCAAAATTGGAAGCGCTTCAGACCAGGTTTTTTGCCTTCTTTTGGATCAACAGCAAAAACATATGTGAGGAAGGCTGAACTTGATGGACGCAAGTCTCTTTTCAGCCATGTAACTATGTAACTATGTATATAGTGTTTATGTGAAAGTTGAAGCTTTAATATTTATATATTTATAATAAAGTTGTGGCCTATTTACTACAAAGCAAGTCTGTTGTGGTTCATTTCGGGAATACGTGGTTGGGTTTATCAATGGTAAAGGTTCTATGCCTATATACAGTTACCCTCTGCCTACGCACATGGATTCCACAGTAAGGCTGTCCCTCCAAATACGGAGGAGATATAGAGGACCAGGAATGGCTGCAAAATCTAAGTAATCACTGCTGAGGCAGGAGATCTTAGCAATTCACATATCTATTCTTTAAAACTCTAGTTAGCACCTTTTTGTCATATTGCTAAGTATGTGTGGATATTTTTTGTTTTTCTTAGCAAGCGAAAGGTGACATTTAAGATTGTGAAAAAAGGATGTGTTACGTGTCCTGCTTGTTTTTAAAAAAAAAAAAAAAAAAAATTCCCTTTTTTGGTGGGATATCTCAAGCATCTTCTTCTAAACAGGGGATCTATTCTTTTTTTTTTTTTTGCAGAGCATATTAGTACAAACAGGCCTGAGGTACCCCAACGGCAATCCTCAGGCTTCGCAAAACATTGGATAAGGCATGCACATCTTTTTTTGTCATAAACAGGAGATAAACGGGGTAGTACAATTCCTATCCAGCTGAAAGTTATGGTACAGGCTAGGTGCAGGCGTATATGGGTGAGTTTGGCTAGGAGACTTGCCAGGTTAGGTAATATACACAAAGATCAGAATATAATACAAGACTGTGTCGGTATTAAACATGCTGGACACACATGAAAGGCAGCCGTCCTATATAGATTGCTAAACAAGAGCATGTATAAGTAAGTTAGGTAGTTAGGAGACCTGTCTATTAGGAGTTACAGGAGGTGCTGTATTCATGCCTGAATTAGGCTGGCGAGCATGCTGTAGCAGTAAGATTTGTTTAACATTCAATATTTTTTCAGTGCATAGCGGAAAATACAAGCTCATTTAGATAGTTCAGAAATGGCATACACGGTGTTGCCTGAGATGTCGAGAATATTGCACTAATTTTTGAAAAATGACATAGAAAATACCAATCCACCTCAGGCATGTGCAATTAACAGACTAGATATTAGCCAAACATTCTCAGGCTAACTATGTAAATCTATATTGTTTATGGAGTAGAATATCTGAGAACAGTTGGCACAATACTGCCAGCATCACACTATACTGTATTATCAGCTTTTTTATTTTTTTTATTTGCTAGACATTCAAACATAGGGAGCTAAGCTGGATATGCATGCCGACTGCAGGATTATTCAATTATGATAAGCGTGATGGGAGTTATCCCATGTTCATCTCCACAAAGCTGTTACAGGCTATACGTAGTAATAATATAAATAAGTAAAATGATGTGGCTTCAGTCGGTTTACAAGTGAGTAGAGAAACATATAAAAACAAGAAACAAAGAAAACAGAGTGTGCAGGAGAGAGTTCTCATGGTGTGATCGGGCTGAAACCAGAAGTTGGATAGCTAGTCAGTCCGCACCAGGTCAGCTGATGCCCGTTTTGGAGACTTTAAATGCAGGGCTTTTAGGTATGTTGCTGAGTCTTCCCAACTGCTCTTCAGTGACCTGTGTGTCTACGGCAGTCACACTGTGTGAACTGGAGGAGGCTCTCCTGCCCTGGGACCTTGCAGGAGCCAGCACCAGTGTCTTGCGGACTCGCCGCCATCTTGGGGCCAAGTCCTTCCCCCATGTGGGGTTGCGCAGGTTCGCACTTCGTTGCTGTCGCAAGCTTACTTTCCTCCGCAGGTGTGAGTGGTGTGTAGGGGTCAGGTCCCATGCGGCTCTGTTCCCAGGTGGGCCAACAGGCTAGCAAAGTGTAGTTCTGGTGTGCGTTTTGCCCGAATGGGGCCTCCACGGCTGTGCCTCGGCCTTGCGCCTTGCTGTGGGCTGAACTCTGCTCGGCCATCGTGCTTTGGGTGCTGTGATCTTGTCGCCGGCCAGTGCTGGTGTCAGCGGCTGTCGCTTGTTCTCCAGGCTTTCCCAAAATCACCTGCAGATGGCATCAAATTTTTTCTTGAATGCCGCTGCCCATTCCGTGGGTGTCTGTTGTACCTTACAATTAGCGGGGCCGCCAGCCATCGTGGTCAGGCCATGCAGTGCTTTTCTGCCCATTCTGTGTTCTGGATCGCTTTGGTGGTGAGTGTTCCCGGGGGATGACCACCGCCGGTCCAGAGGGGGGAGGGTCGAGGGCCCTTGTGCCGACATGCGGTCTGTTGTGGCGTCAGGAAAACGGCCGTCTCTCCTGCGCCTGTCATGTTGGTAGGCCTCACGCCCTTGTCGGGTGAGCATTGCACCAAATGTCGCTTGGATGATGTCATCTCGCTCAGCTCGATGTCACCTCTCGATTGGTGACCTTTCTGCCTTAATTAGTCACAGTTTAGGCTGTAAAAAATTGCTTTATGCACTGTATGTAGTGGGAGCTGCTGAGGTTTGCTTCCAGTCAGCTCAGCAGTCAGGCCCAGCCCCCCAACAGGGGATCTATTTAAACATTTAAACAGATATGCTTTATCTGGGAGGTAATTAACTAAAGGACCCGCTTGGATGTTCCTATTTTAAACATATATATATATTTTCTATAACATTAAGATTATGACATTTTAGCTACTTTTATTTTAATTTTTTTAAACTAGTTACCCTGATCAGCCGTGCTAACGAATATTTTGCAGACCTTATGCGTCAGGACTTTCCCATAATAGATGAGAGTTTGTGTTAATGTGGGAGCTTTTAGTTATGTAAACATCAGAATTCTTAAATTACAGCTTGTGTCTTGTGCTGCGGCCAGAACAGTTGGCTTGTAGACACTACTCACTAATGTGTTTAATTTGAATAAAATTACATGAAAAAATGCACGGATTTCATAAAATAAGAAGTGTATGAATAGAGAACATTTCATAACAGGAAATGTGATACAAGATAACTAAAGGCCTGTTAAGGTTTAGTGAACTTTTCTCACTTCCAATTAATATTCATTAGAACTGCATAGGCACGTGAGGCTCAATCCCCTGTTACAGATAGGCATCAGAGCCGGATTAAGGTTGTCCAGGGACCTAGGCAGCGTGACTGATGGGAGCTCACACCTAGAGCCCTGGCCTCTGTTTCTGTGAGTGGTGTGTGTGTAGTAGAACGTGGTAGTGGCTGAGTGTTGTATGTGTGGAGCAGGTTGACAGTTTTATGGGGGGGGAGGGTGTACTGAGTGTGTCTGTTTAGCTAGCCTTATGTGCCTGAGCATCCTTGGGTGTGATTGTGTGTTGATGTGCATGTCTCTGTGTGGGGTAGTTGCTTGCGTTGTGTGGCAATTGCTTGTGGTTTTTCTATGTTGCGTTTATGGTCAGGCTTTGTATCATGTGTGATATGTGATTGTGTATGGCGATGACTATCTTCAGGGGGTGACTGGCAGGGAGAGGAAAATAAATGTGACAGGGTGTGGGGCGTGAGTGTAGCAGGGTGAGGTGTGAGTGTGGCTGCACTTGGGGAGTGAGTGTGACAGGGTTTTCAGGGTTTTGGAGTAGGTATGACAGGGTGAGGGGAATGAATGTGACAGGTTAGGTGGGGTTAGTTTGACAGGGCTGAGGGTGAGTGTGACCGATTTAGGGGGTGAGTGGGACATGGTGAGTATCAGGGGTGGTGAGTTTGACAGTTTCGATTGGTGAGTGTTAAAGGGTTAGTATGTCAGGGTCTGATAGGGTTAGGGAGTTACAGTATGTAGGGAGTCTCTTCACACTGTAATCGCCTTTGTACCTCCTGGGTAGGAATGCATTTCCTGGTGGATTCCCTGGTAATCTGGTGGGCTCCCGGTGCAGACACAAACCTTCCAGTCCAGCTCTCTGTAAGGAAGTCAGAGCACAGGCTGAGAATCCTGCCTTCTGCGCTGACTTCATAGTGCCGGAACTGCGAGAAACCACAGACAACAAGGGAGTCATTTTTAAATGGCAGAGCAAGGAGATCCTTTGATCTCCTTACAAGTTCGAGGGGACCCAATCAGAGTCGGAGCTCCAGGTTCAGGCAAGGTCTGACCAGGCTGCCTTGGTCGCCTAATGGGTCATCCTGATAATCTGATAAGCATCTGCTGTCAGCTATAGAAAGCTAAAAAGTAATAGTATCTGTTGCAGTCTTTGCCACCCGCATTTTTCCATGTTTCACAACGTTTAATGCAGACAAGAATTCAAAGTAATTCAAAGTGAATTTTAAAATAGCAGAACTGTAGAGAAACATTATTACCTATTCTGGCCTTAAATTGGAAATTCACTTTGAATTCTCACTTTGGTAGATAAACTTGTTAGTTTCAAAATGAAAATTAAGTAAATTTGAAAGGGCAGTAGCTAGCGGCAGCGCAGCCAGAGGTGTTGATACCTGCCTGTAAAAAGGAGGACAGACAGAGGGGTCGATACCTGAATGGAAGTAAGAAGAACAGCTTGAGGGGTCTATACATGATTGAAAGAAATAGGACTGGCTGCGGGTCCATACCTTGCTGGAAGGAGAAATCATTGGTAGAAAGGCATGTCCACTGTGACTAGCCTAGCTAATGGAGATATAGCCTTGGGCTTGACCCCAGTCATAGCGATGATCCCTCTCTGGGGTGGCAGACCCACACATCTGGTGGCACGTCCTAGGAATTGGTATGCCCAGGGCAAGATGTGCCATCACAACATGCATGAACTAAAGTATATGGCCACCTGCTTATCTAACCTTTCCAAAATGAGCTACAGCTATTCTGGGAAGATTTTTCATCACATGTTGGAACATTGTTGCAGGAATTTGCTTTAATTGATCTGTTGGAGCATTAGTGAGATCGGGCGCCATTGTTACACAATTAGCCTTGTCTCATTGTTGGCTTCATCCCAAAATGGGTTGAGAGATCAGGACTTTTTTTTTTGTTCCACTTCAGATACTATTTTCAATTATACTTTTGGAATGAACATCTGATGCACTAGTTACTGATTTACATTTCCAAATTTGTATAAGAAGGTATAGAAAATGCTCTTACTATTTGTATATATTTTGATAATGTATCACAAGCATTTTAATGTTATCCATACACCCACAATGCAACAGGCAGTGCATTACCAGTGTGCAAGCACATCTACCTAGTAATTACAGAACAGAATGTTCCAAAACATCGATTAGCTTTTTAGTAAACCCACTGTTTAAAACTAACTGAATACATTAACTAATATCCACTTTATTTTTCTTTTTTAGGATATATGCAATTTAACGCTCATAAAATTAGGACAAACATAGAATATTTGCCAATTTATGGTTTTTACACTTTAAATGATCTCTTTGGGGAATGTGAAGAAAGCAGTCTTCCGATGTACACTTCCCCACTTAGGAAGTGGTGTACTGTGACATGATCTATTTCTGAATTCACAAGACCAGAGTTGGCATGAAAACACAGCACCTAATTGTTTCTTCTAAACTGATTGGAGATAAATCTCTATGCTTATGCTAATTCTTAGCAACAAACAGAACAAATACATTTCCTCATCAGTTAACCATGTAAAAACCAGTGTGCAAATACCACTGTGTAATGTATTCTATTAGATCTTGGTGTTTCAGAGTAATTTACTAACTTGCTACAAATATCATAGTAAAATACTCCCAATAAGCTCAATTCATATTAAAGTACATTGTTTGTGATATTGTGTCTGTGTATTATGTATCCCAGAGAGCTGTTTTAGGTATATAACACTTTGCTAGCCATCGTGCATGTGTAGTTACTCTGGTACCATTTAGAACGTCTCGTTTTAGCTGTTAGTAACTGAATGAGTAAGGTGGATAATAAGTTAAATGGAAGGAAATGGCAGAATATATATTTTTTTATCTGAATCTTTTGGTTACATTTTGACATTTATTAAAGGCAAACTCTGTATCCCTTGCTGAAATACTTTATATGTAAATAATTTGTCCTCTTTTTTTCATTTTACAAAAAGTGCACATTTTAATAGAAATTGGTACTTTTATAAACAAGCATGATTACACCACCTTGGCTGTCAATTAACAATTCCTGTTACTTCCTGGTTCGGTTAACTCATTGTTGATAAACTCAAGAGGCAGCAACTGCCCAGAGCACCTGTCTTGCAAAGACTTCTCATTGAGCGGCATTGGGAAGTTTGTGATTGGACAGTCATAGAAAGTCTGGGCGGGGTTAGAATGGGAGGGCTTGCAAAAAGTCTGGGTGTAATTAGAAGGTGAGGGTTGGCCAAGGCTTTAGGCAAGAGATCTGCAACTTTTACAAGCTGTTTTTTAATATACCCCCAATAAGGAAATGCATAAATAAATGCATGCATGCGTCCATTGGTAGTATATCTACCAAAGAGTGATTTTTACTTTTATTTTTTATTTGGGCAGTGGGGTGTTCCTTTAATGAGTTTGAAATTGATATTCAGTGATGTGAAATATGTTTATTTATCTGTTAATATGAAAGAATGAATGGATATCCTGCCCATGTGTGCTACAGTTTAATAATAGTGTATACAACAATCTGAACAAAATGTTACAGTAGGAAGCCCAACAACTGAGTAAAGAGTTGCCTCCTGTTAAGTGGCATCGAACTGCTTAATGTGCATGTGTATACCTGTGCGTGGGAGCTTATGTGTGTGTGGTCATGTCAAAAGCCACAGATCTAGAACAATCCAGAGTACATAACATTATTACACATGTGATTGTACAGTGATATTTGAGCTTTGGAATGGTATAACACCTGTTGGAGAAGAATGTAGGGTAACTATACATGAAAGTAATTGTTTCAATATACAAACCCCACATACACACAGTTCATGCGTAATGATCTTCAAATTTGGGAATCGGCCAAGTGAGAATGCCCCAGGCTTGACTTATATGAAAACAGGTATCCATACATTCTTCAGGCCTCTGGCTGAATTCATAAGAATATGAATGCAGGGTTTACGCTGCGTATGTCCAAAATGTAGGAATACACCCCATGGTGCTGCCATGGAAATATTATCCGTAAGATTGGTAGACATTTATAGCTACGAATCCTATTGTATCTTAAGAGGAAAGCCTGGGTTATTACATTAGGGGGTCACAGACAAGACACTTGAGAAAAAAAAAAAAGATCTACACTAGTGACACACCAGCCTTTTAAAGACCTCCAGCATGTTGATGGGTTTATTTATATCCTCATTGGAAGAATAATAGTCAACTTGAAGATTCTGAACTAGTAACTTTGAGAATTGGCATGAGAAGCTCGCTTCTATGTGGTCTAAACATGGGGTGCATCAACCAAACAATTTGTGGCATTTCTGTCATGTTGGTTGCCAGATTGACTACTTTTCATTTGCTGTTCATCAGTAAGTAGAAGATAAATATGTCTGTGAAAATATGAAGATTCTGGCATCTCAAGTGTCACAGGGTTTAAATCTAGAAGTGTTCAGTGGTTGTGGTTCCCAAGTATGAAGATGTTTAACTCTGACGAATGTGCATTATTCAAAGCACCGAAACGCGCGTCGGGTGTTTTTTCATTTTTATTATTTTTTTGATCATGGGCACTGGGCCCTAGCTTATTTAAGCACTTCTTCTATGTTGAATATGATTTTGTTACTCACTATTTAATCTTTCTGCTTCTATGCCCGTCTACATAGATTTAAAGGGAGAGAGGCTTTATAAAATCCTAATGTCAGTTTATTTGAAACTGACCTTTGATATAACACTGTCTACTCTCTATATTTGCTGTCTGACAGTATTTCTCCTCTGGAACCCTTTTTAGACCTATTGAGGTCATTTTTGATATGATGATTTATAATTTCAGATATATTGTATCACTTACTGTAATTATACTATAACTATTATAGAGATACTTTGGATTTACAATTATCTTCTTTCACCTGTGAATATAGGCTCTGAGATTTAGTCTTATTTAATCTTAGCAGGTAGAAGGTGACCAAGAGGAACACATTGGGACTAATTTTTCATTTTTAAGCTAGCTTTTCAATAAAGAGATATATATATTTTTATTTATGTGATATCATATCGCTATACATATATGTGAGTTACCCTCTCCTGGTTTATACACTGGATGCATAGTTGCATTTGCTACACTTGTATAAACTTTTTTTATTTTTTACGTACTTTTCGGTCTCATAATTTATTTTTGTTTATTTTTTTATTTATTAGCCAGTTCATTGCAATACGGATTCTACATTGCTATATATATATCCAGTGAATGCACCTGGTCTCAGGGCTCTGTTTGCACTGAGACCAGTGGCATTCTTGTTGCTGTTTTGTGAATTACTGACGTTGGGGTTAAGCCCCTGGAGAACCCTGGAGTCTCCTTGCGGTACAGAAGAGTAGTGGGTACACCCGGCACTATTACCTTTGGGTGGAGTGCGGTAGATTTTACTCACTATCTTCCAACTTTTGTTTGTTTAAATCTGAGCCTAGTATCAAACACAAATTCACGTTCATTCCCATTTTTGTTTTTACAGACATACACATATGGCCAAATGACTATTGTTTAGCAAAGAGTACTCAGAACAAAGAGAAGGATCAGTATATTTTAATAATGTATCAGTGTCAAAGTACATTTTCTTAGCAATCACTTTCCATACAGCGATTATATCATCAATAAGAATCCAGCCACATAGTTTTGTTTATGAAATCGTTTATGCTGAAAAGGCTCGGTTAATATCAGTCCTCAGATATTTTGAATAGCTTAGTAAACTGCTTGAATATAATGCTGAAAAACTACACAGACAGTAAAACAGGATTCAAGTGTGATTAACCCTTCAAGTGCTTTAGCCACGAGCCCCCCTCCCAAAAGCTATGGATACTAAACACTTAAGCTACTTGGTTAATGCTTTGGATATAAAACAATTAAAAAGCTAAAAATCAAAACAGAACAACGACGTTGGTAAGAAACATTTAGGACAAGAAATTAGAAATGCCAGAGGGGTGCCCAATGCTCATTTGCACGTATGTTGCTCATCCCTGGCAATGAAGGTGTTAATACTAATCATTTTTAACATAGTGCATTTGAAATCTTATTAACTTAACAACACATAAAAAAATTAGGGAAAGCTATCAATTTTGGATAAACGGTAATTAACCACACAGTGACATTCAGGAATATTTACTAAGCTAAGGTGTAGATTGTTGGAACTCCAAAGTGAATTGAGAGTAAATTTCAAATTTAAGGCCAAACAGCTGAAATTGAAGAATTCTCCATGTTATCAGTGTTTGCAGTGCAGCTAATTTGGCCTAGACTTGGACATTTCCCTTTGATTCCACTTTGTGTAATTGAAAAATCACACTTTTAGTAAATAACCCTGTTAGTGGAATGTTTAATGTAGGGCTCCTGCTAACTCCTACAACATTTCAAAAGTTAAAAGTCCAACTTTTGCAGGGGGTTACAAAAGTCAAGAAACTAAAGGATTTTGATTTCTATGAGCTGAAATCTGGAACCCCACTCAAAAATAGACATTAAACTTCTCATGTGCTAATAGTGATGATATTGTATTGCTAAACTTTGGACTTTTTTTGCTTACAATTGCAGAAGTTATAAGCACTACAAAAAAATATAAAAGAACCATTAACCCCTTAAGGACACATGACATGTGTGGCATGTCATGATTCCCTTTTATTCCAGAAGTTTGGTCCTTAAGGGGTTAAAAAGGAAGTCACTCTACCTGCCAAAAATGATACGTCATTTTTCCTCACGTGAAAGTTTGCTTTGCAATTCTGTAAACATGACCACATTTTAATATGTGCAATAGTCATTCCCTAACTTTGAATGAAATGTACTACACCCAGTTAATAGACATAACGGTTACTCCAATAGATGCGCTGTACACTGCAAGGGACACAGAGTATATGTAGTCAAATCTGACGTATTAACTGTCCATACATATGTCCTTGAAAGTTCTCCACAAAACCCAACAAAACGTCCGAATAGCAAAATTGAGGCAATTGACACATATACACATTAGTATACAGTAGGCTTATTCTCGCTTTCTTACCCATTGGTGTGAAAGAAACAGTGCTATACATTGGGTTTATATGCACTAAACCAGGGCTAGGCAACTTTCGGCACTCCAGATGTTGTTGACTACATCTCCCATAATGCTTTGCCAGCATTATGGCTGTAAGAGTATTATGTAAGAATTTGTCCTCAATATCTGAAGTGCCAAAGATGGCCAACCCCTGCAGTAAGCCATGGGTTCCTAATGATGGTCCTTGTCTTGAGCCGTGTAGTACTCAAACAATATTTCTAAAATACTTAATGAAGCACTAGCATTGGGGACCATTGTTAATGTTTTTTTATTTTTTTTATTCATTTTTTATGATGGTGATGATGGCATACTGTACAAAAGGCATTGGCTGTATGATGTTTCTTTAGCTTATAATTTCACTCAGTTAGGCTAGATAGGAATGTGATTGGTGTCTGAATATATACTATTTTCCTATGTATAGAAATGATATTTTAGGATAATTTTTTTTTCCACCAAACTGGGGACTGTGAAAAATTGACAAAGGAACTGCAAATGGTAGATCACAGAAATCCTATTTGAAAACTCTTTAGCTCTCATTTCAGCTATCTTGGTTTACAATTTGCAGGTAAATTCTTCAAAGATTCCAGTTTAGTAAATATCTCTGAACATGTTAAAGAAAAATGAACCGGAAACTCAAACCAGAAATCAAAGGATGAAGTTATGCAGCAAACATGACCATGGCATTTCATTGCCTGTCACTGAACATACTACATACTGGTATAAACATTTTTTTCTAAAAGTATCTCTACATGGGCCTAACGTAAAGCTTAGAAAACATTGCATGGAATTCTGGGAGACACGGTCTCCAACTATACTACTCTTTAGGGAAACTATCACAGCACTGTCCAACTATTCTAGACATAGCCTTATATTTAATTTTTTATTTATATTTTTTTTAAGTGCAAATTTGATTTGATTTTTTTTCTTCTTTTTCTTCGACACTTTTTAACCCAGTTTGTCTCTATAAAATTCTAAGAAGATTGTTACTGAAATTGAGTGATTCTGGTAAAAGTTGTATACATATTTAGATTAATTTGCTGGTTCATTTTACTGTACCAAATAATCCGGGTTTCCATACACTAAAACAGATGACAATCGACAATCTAGACTAAACCAGCAGGGTTTGTTTTTTTGTGTGTTTGTGTGTTTTATTTTTTAAATAAATCTCCAGTTTGAGCAACTTGTTAATAGTAATAAAATCAACATATTTCAGAGGTTTCACTAGTTTTTGGTTCTAGTTGTGGGTACTATTAACTTGAATCTAGACTGGATTAATTTAAAGGGACACTCCACACTGAACATGGTCCATTTTGTTAAACCATGACATAGATAATGCATTAAAGTATTTGAAAATAAGTCAATGAGCTCTTGTTAGAAAAGGAAGTGACTAGTAATCTTGCTCATTTAACTTTCCATAGAATTGAGTTTATACCATAAGTAATGTTTTATAGGCACAGCAAGAGTTTCTGGGAAATTTAGTCTATCAGATTTCTGCTGTAAAAAGTAAACATGTAAAACGGTAAACTGGGTTTATCCCACCCAACATAATGGATTTTAATCTAACCTTCACATGTTACATCACATGCGCGTGTTTCTGGAATGTCCCTTTAAACATATTTTTATATTAATGGAATTCTAACCACTTCTATCTATCACACCTGCTTAGCATAAATGTGGTTACAACCTAGCCATTATTTTCTCTGATACAAATTCCCCATGTCATTGTGTTTTTAATTCTTAGATATTTGAGATCATTTAAAAGTTTAAAGTTTAACTGCATTAAACAACCAAACCTATCAATATATTGTTTCACTGCATGTTTTTGAAAATACAATCCCCTAGTAGATTTTGGCAACTATGGCCTTCCAGCCGAAATAAATACATATTATCCGAAACCTGCCAAGGATAATGGGAGTTGCAAAAACAACATGAGGATACAGTTGCAATTGAGCAAGTTATATCCTATGTCTGGATCAGCACCAGAGTTGATCTCACATGCATTGTAGATTTAAGGGAAACAATCTTTTTTTAAATAAATGAGCCTGGTAAGTATATATGCCATAACATTATACAATAAAAAGGTACATTAAAGGACCACTATAGTCACCCAGACCACTTCAGTTCAATTAAGTGGTCTGGGTGCCAGGTCCCCCAGGTTTTAACTATGCAGCTATAAACATTGCAGGATTAATCCAGCCTCTAGTGGCTGTCTTCCTGACAGCCGCTAGAGGCGCTTCCCCGACACTCAATGAAATTTTTTTTAAATTTTTTTTAAAAAAATCGCATTGAGTACGCAGAACATTCATAGGAAAGCATTGAGAAATGATTGAGAAATGCTTTCCTTTGGGCGTTTTTAATGCGAGCGCTGCTCTGGCTACGCATTCGGTTCCACTCGGGAGACGACGTCGGAGGGGGAGGAAAGGTCACCAGCACCGACCACTTCAGCCCAGCGGGAGGGGGCCCTGAGGGTGGGGGGGACCTAACGATTATATAGTGTCAGGAAAACAAGTTTGTTTTCCTGATACTATAGTGGTCCTTTTGCCTATTTTAACAGCTATAAAACTCAAAAATATTAGGGCACACTGTATTAGGTATGTTTACCAAATTGCCATGCTTCTGAATGATGCTTATGAATGTTTTATTCTGTTTAGCAGAACTCCTGATGCGAAATCAATTAACGAACCTCATGATATTCCTTTTGGAACACAGCCTTGATTAATTAGTTGGTTAATTGATTTCCCACTGGGAGTATAAGAATTGTACACAGTACTGGGTATATCTTATCTGACGACACCTACGTGAGACTCCTGTATCTCCCCATATCTGTACTATTTATCATAAGATTCCTAATAATATCTAATTAGCATAAGGTTTCACCGAGCTATCTCGCTATAGATTTTAAGTCTGCACAGACTGTTTTTGAACGGAAGAGGCTCTTTAACCATATGTGTGAAGTCCTGGTTCTTTTAACTTCTTTACACCTGCTTTTAAAGGTTTAGTTTACAACTTCATGATCATCCCCTGTACATTAAATTGATGTATCTTAAAATGGGAAATAATTGGGATGCCTGATTAGTATTCCCAATTGTACTTTATCAAGGGGTCCCCTGCAATTTTGATACAGCTTCTATACTTAAACCTTGTGTGAGCTTATGTTAACGATTGCAAACCTTATGTAATATTTCCAGGGCTTTTTCACCCACAAAGAGCTAATTACCGTCCCCTTAGGTTGGCGTGTTTGCCTAGCATACATAGGTAGCTAATATGGGATGCGGCCAAAATAAAACATACAAGTTTATTAAGACTCAAGGAACCAAGCTATTGCAATGCCCAGCAAGAACCCTGAGAAACATGATAAAAAAATGTCAATCTCAAACAACAATAGGTGATCTTCGGCATACCAACCAGTTGAGGATGGTCAAGTAGGGATAATCTTCATGGGAACTGAACTATTAATCAGTACGCAACAACAAGCCCTCTAAATCTGCCCACCTGTAGCCATAAGGTAGTGGCAGAATGGCTTCAACACATTGGTTTGAATGAACCCATCTTGATTGGGTTCTTAAAAAAAGCTTTACAACCCACTTAAAGGCCAGGGCACAAAATACAACTGGCCACATATCACTAAACTTTATATAAAAAAATATTTAATATGCTTTTAATAAAACATTGCAGTCACAATTACAAACTATTTGCACTTGAAGAGTTATCAACATATAAAAGCTATAAACATAGACCCTGAATCAAATGCATACAGAAAAAAAATATCAGTTTCTAAAGTTAATGATATACGATTCTTTACACTGAATCTGTTACCCCTACTGCATTGTAAAAGTAAGAATTGCCCTCATAACTGATTAGAAGTGTTAGTAGTGTCTGTTTCAATAGATTTTAAATGTGTGTAATGTTAAACAGAACAACGATTATCAGTTTTACAAAAATAAGAGATTATGTGAACAAGAATTTATGTTTCTGACATAAAAAAACAAGTACCAATAAAAGATGTATGTAAGGCATATATGGTCAAAAGGCTCAAAGTGTTAAATGTTAATACAAAGATTTTGAATAATCTAAATGCCAGGGTCATCTCTGTGCAACATTGAATCTTACCCTTAACCCATTAGCTTAGTTATAAAATATATATATTTATATAAAGTAGTTTTTATTTTCAGATATAATAAAATCACTGGTATTTAACTCCTCAGTTTTTGACATTAAAATACAAAAATATTCAGCGGAAAGGTTCATAAACTGCTGAATGTATGTAAGATGCTAAATTGGCTACAATTTAATTTTAATTTATCTCAAAACCTTTTTATGGGAAAATTGTGTGTATTTATTTTCTCTTTGGACCATTCAAGTGTTGAATGAAATTTTAATTCCTTGGTGTCAGATAAGCAGATAATGTATTGTCTTTCTTACACCTTTGGTTTTCAACGACTTAAAATGTAATGCAGGTATGATGACCCTTCAATAACAAAGTGCTTAAAAAGATTCCAACATCCCCACATCATAATTTATAAATATGCATTAAGATCTTTAATATATGCAGTGCCCGTATGTACCTTTGAGATCTAAAAGCCCCTTTTTAGGAAAGAGATCCTCTGCAAATTACATTTCCTGTTTTTTAAAGTTTATTGCAACAATTTTTATATCTGAAAATCAGACATGCTTCCACATCATATTAGAGGCTACCATTAAATCAGGGGTGCTAAAAACACACACAGTTGTCAGGAGAAGACACTAACAGGACCTTGCAAGAAGGAAAGCATTAAGCTAAGAACTCGTTCCCAAAATCGGGAAAAATGACACTTCAATCTCGACACATTTGTTTTATGAGAGATGGGTCTACAAATGTATATTTATGGAAGTCTGATCTGTGTAATTTAAGTCCCTGCATTATTTTAAATACCTGGGTGGAATTAAAATGGTTTTCCACCACTTATTTGTTTACACTTAATGACTGAATTTACAGTCTGACTCAAAGAGTAGAACATAAAAGGCACTGCATTTTAAAATGGGCAACTAGGCTTTTGTCTTTTGTGTCAGTAAAATCACCCATTTTGGGTATAAAACTGCATGATTAACAGAAATACATGCACCATAATTCACCTGTGGCCAATTTAAAAAAAATATATATATATATAAATTACTTTTACAAGGGTAGTAGGGTGCGTAAAATATTTTCTATACTATACACTTTTTTTTTAATTAAAATGAAGAAAAAAAAATACAACAGGTAAAAACATATATGCTTTTCTTTTAATATGAAGTCAATCGAAGAAGGCCACTATTTGGTAATGTGAACAAAGTTCAGAAAAGTAAGTGAATCTTGTACAAGTGTTATCAACGATAGAAGCTGTCTACTTGGAAAAAAAATTGATTTAGAAGTTGAAGACATTTGAACAGTTGTGAGTCAATAGTTATCTTTGTTGTTCCTCAGGTAGTCTGATCAAGAGCTCTGAGGAGATCACACCCTTGCAGAAGGTTTGAGTTGCCCAGAACTGGCACATTAACCTCACAGTCATATCTTGTCAGTTCAGGCAACAGGTAGGCTTCAGAAGACGGGCCTATGAGACGATTTGTCAGACCTACAAACAAACAGGAAAAAAGTAAACTTTAATGACACGCAAATGCACAGCTTAAACAGAGACAAAGTTTAAACAGAAGCAAAGTGTGCTTTCTCAGTATATAAATGACGTCTAAGAGAATAATTATATACAAATAATAATTTTTTTTTTTAACCAGCAGAAAAGTGTTTTAAAAAATAAAAATAGTGTGCGATGTTTGATCGATCTCAAATCAAAATCTATGTTTTTTTATGAGGAAAGCATAATTATCGATGAGTGGATATTTCAGAAGTTGTCATGCATGATCCTTCAAGTTCAACAACATAGGACAAGCCTACTGCTGTTGATGAAGTTCTGGACTATCCAGCCTTGGTATCCACCACTCCTCCAGATGGCAAACGATTATTCAAGACTTCTGTAAACAACCCCTTTAACAGACGTGGACAAGAATACCCGCGTACTACCTCAGCAGGTCTTTATACATCTTCTTACATGGCTGATTTCAAGGGATTCTGATTTATCAAGGGCATTCCACAAACAACTCCTCAACTGGGTCCAATGTCTCCTTGGATGAAAGTTCTCCAGTTACTCATTCTACTATTCGAAAAGGGCACACATTAACATCTACCATTTAGTCATCTCCGTTGGTCATGCTGATGACAGTGACCCCTTGGGAAAACATACACTTGGCACCTTCTGAAAGTATCCAAATAGACATGACATCTGCTTCCTCAATACTTTTCTCTCTGAAATGTTAAATCTTGAATTCATTTGATTATTGGTCTTTGTGATTCTTAAAGCTCTTTAAGTTTTTTGGGAACTTGCCCATGAAGTTCCTGTTCCAGTTTTGGTTTTGAACATGCTGGTGCTAGTTTGCGGTTCCTTGGTTCCAGGTGCAGACTTTGCAAATAAAGATGATGTTACTGCGGAGACTGGACTATTTACAGACTATGACGTGTTCTGATTGGCTGTTTGGTTTGATGTCATGTTCTTTGTTTTTAAGTTTTTTTCTTTTTCATGTATATAACTGCTGCTGAAGTAAAGCAAAATATAATACTTACCTCTGTGTCTTTAATAAGTGTATATCTCTATGTCATGAAATGGTAAAATCCTTGAATTTCAGTGTATGACACAATTGAAAGCACTTAACCTGACAGAGTCAATCTCAATCAAGCTTATAACATGTATTTATCACAAAGAACTTGCTAGCAGCTGTTTAATTGTATGTTAGCAGATTGAAAGAAGGAAAACATTTTGGCCATTAGCTTCTAAGCTGCCATGGTAACTATATAGGAAAATATATAGATGTTTTGTTTTTTTTCTAAACATCTAA